AGATTTTGAGTGAATGTGATCTTTGGTCGTGAAACATAAGATTTGTCCATTTTTTGAGTATATAGGGTGTTGAATGTGAGGTAGTTAGGCTGTGGGAAGACCTCATAATCAACGTAAAAATGAATTTATAAATTACAAATTAAAGTTAATTAATAATCCCAATTATCAATAGTTATGTAGCAAATGTGTGGTTATATTTGTTAAGGGATTTTAAATTTAATATTTAATAAAGGAATTCCCGACATGAAAGGCGTCAGTACCATTACGAGTTGATTGATTGATAAAGATTAAGCCACCCAAGAGGTGGCACGGGCATGAATAGCCCGTAAGTGGATTACGAGTTACTGGAGGCCACCATGTTTACCCCGAGGTTGGCTCTGGTCTTCATTAAGCCAACCCGTTCTCGCAAATTCGTAAAGTCAATATTGACTTATTAACTACGTGCATAGGTGATATACTAAACATAATAGATACCCTTAAAAAGATTCATAGAAAACACCGACCTTACCTAACCTTGTTAGTATCTTAAGATAAGCATCTTATTGCTTCGTAATTACAATTATTACTTAACCTATACCTATTATAGGTTAGGTAATAATTGTAATTACGAAGCTATAAGATGCTTATCTTAAGATACTAACAAGGTTAGGTAAGGTCGGTGTTTTCTATGAATCTTTTTAAGGGTATCTATTATGTTAAGTATGTCACCTATGCACATATTTAATAAGTCAATATTGACTTATTAAATTTGCGAGAATTAAGCACATTGTGTTCTGTGCCCTATTGAAAGACCTCATTTACATCAGTTTAGAGGTTTCCTGTGGCCTCTGTATTGTCTACTCTCATAAAAATCCTACTATCATCTGCAAAGGATGATACGGTACTATAATGTACGTACCTAATTGTGCTTGCGGGGGTTAAGCTCTGGCTCTTTGGTCCCGCCTCTCAACCGTCAATCAACAGGTGTACAAGGTAAGGTAATTATCAAAAGAAGGCACCAAACCGGGAAGGCTATGTAGCACCATCAAAGTGCGAAATAATCAGAGGGCGCTAAATATCACCAAGAATGCCAATAGGAGAACAAAAACGCATAAGGCGAACGATATCAAAAGTATCCGATTCACCTAGAAGTCTATCGAGGGACAAGCGACCGCGGGGGATGGTCGGAAAGCAAGACACGCTCGTCCTGGAAGTCAGGACATTCAACAAGGATATGTACGACCGTAAGAGGGACAATGCAATTCGGACAATAAGGAGCAGGGCGGCGCTCTATTAAGTGACCGTGGGTTAAGCGAGTATGACCAACCCGCAGCCGTGCCAAAGCAGTTTCCCACCGCCGGTTATGGTGGCAGGAGGAAGGCCACGGGGACACACTACGTTTGAGAGTACGCAGCTTGTTACCAACCACAGAGGACCAACAACCCTGCCAACGGGTAAGAATGGAGGAATGAATAACAGGATAAAAGTATAAAAGTCGGAATAAGGAATACCTTACGGGAGATGCGACAAGAACGGATAGCTTCCTTAGCGGCAGCGTCCGCACGCTCATTTAAAGAAGCACCAATATGGCTGGGAACCCAGCAAAACTCTACTGATTTAAATTTACTAGAAATAAGAAACAGCCAATGTTGAATCTCGATGACCACCGGATGGACAGGATTATAGTACCCTAGAGCCATGAGGGCACTACGAGAGTCAACTACAACCACAAAGGAGGAATGAGAATGAGAAAGCAAGAGACGAAGAGCACAGAGAATAGCATAAAGTTCTGCCGTAAAGACGCTAGCCTCTGAAGGGAGGCGACACATGTAAGTACGGTCAGGAAAAACAACAGAGTAGCCCACACCGTCCGCAGACTTAGACCCATCGGTGAAGATGGAAATAGAGTGAGAGTGCGAAGAAAAGTGCTCAAGGAAGAGGCTTTTCACAATTGTAGGAGGGGTAAAGGCTTTAGGAATACAAGTCAAGGACGTACAAAACTTGGGAAGGGGGACTCTCCACGGAGGTAAGGAACAATACGAGGAGAAACATTAGAAATATGAACAGAAAGAGAATCCTGTAAGCGAGATAACCGGACAGAAAGTGGGAGACGATGAAGAGGAACAGGAGCTACAGGAGGAGGAAAAGTCAATGCACGACAGAGGCGAGACGAAGGATGTTGGAAGGACCGCGCAAGATAGCGAAGACAGTAGCGATCACGGCGGTCCTGAAGAGAGAGAAAGCCAGTGTCAACATACAAACTGAGGGCGGAAGTCAAACGAAAGGCACCAGAGCTGAGACGCAACCCAGTATGGTGCAAAGCATCAAGATGGCGAAGAGTAGGAGGAGAAGCAGAAGAGTATGCAGGGCAACCATAATCGAGTTTAGACAGGACGAGAGAGGAATGCAAATAGAGGAGCGTGCGCCTATCCGCTCCCCAAGAAGTATGGGACAAAACCTTAAGTAGGTTAAGGGCCTTAGAGCATTCAACACGGAGGTAAGAGACATGGGCTGACCAAGACAAACGAGTGTCAAAGACTAACCCCAAAAGCTTCGCGGAATCCCTGTACACAAGGGGATGACCATAAAGCAACAAAGAGGGACGAAGAACGACATGCTTCCGAGTAAAAGTCATAACACAAGTCTTAGACGCAGAGAAGCCATGATCGGTGGCCCAAGACGACACGGCATCAATCGCAAGTTGAAACCGCCGTTGAAGAAGAGGCGAATCATCACCCCGACAGCAAAGGGTAAGATCAACGTAGAGAGCAGAGAAGACGCCAGAAGGAAGAGAGGAAAGAAGACCATTGAGGGCAACTAGAAAAAGAGTAGTACTCAGAACACTACCCTGGGGTATCAACAGGTGTACAGGTTCCTGAGCCTATTGGGCTCTATCATATCTACACTTGAAGCTGTGTATGGAGTCAGCCTCCACCACATCACTTCCTAATGCATTCCATTTGTCTACTACTCTGACACTGAAAAATTCTTTCTAACGTTTCTATGGCTCATTTGGGCACTCAATTTCCACCTGCGTCCCCTAGTTCATGTCCCCTAGTGTATGTCCCTGTCTATGTCAATATGAGAATGAGGAAACGTATTGGAGTAAATGCAATACCTGGAGACACCTTTTCATGGTGGCTTTTACTTTGTGACTCCACGTGTTTTGTGATCTTGCTTCTTAGCACTCTTTTCAAATATTTTTTTATTGCGTGTGATATTAGTGCGATCAGTGTGCAAGGAATGTTTTGCGTCTACTTCATCCTTTATGGAGTGGTGAGATTTCCTCAGTTTTGCGTGCACCAGTTTCCAGCCTAAATTCTAAACGATATTTAGGGCCTGAAGTGTTTTCTCAAACTGTTGTTGAGTGCAGAGTTCTTGGTCGGAGAGCATAAGTATACTATCTATGGTTATGTCGGAGAGCATAAGTATACTATCTATGGTTATGTCGGAGAGCATAAGTATACTATCTATGGTTATGTCGGAGAGCATAAGTATACTATCTATGGTTATGTCGGAGAGCATAAGTATACTATCTATGGTTATGTCGGAGAGCATAAGTATACTATCTATGGTTATTTCAATGTCCATCTGATATATATTCGATGATGGTGTCACATTCATGAAAAATTCGTTTGCAACCTGTCCTCTTAAAAAGAACGTCGCTTTTGGCCGTTTGCCCGTATGGCCGAATTTGGACGTAATTAGAAAATGAAAAATAAATGAAAATAAATTTGGGATTTTTTTTCAACAACAGTAAGTTAAGGGTCCTCTGATAGGTTAGGTGGGCAGGAAATTCTCATAAAGTTTCAAAACGTTATGAAAAACGTTAATTTAAAGTGTCCTCTTATAACCTCTGCGCGTACGCCGGACGACTCAAATAGAAAACGGAACAGAACGTCACTTTTGTGAGTCGATGTCATTTCAAATTACGTCCAAATTTGGCCATAGCGGCGCATACGGGCCAAAAGTGACGTTATTTTTAACAGGACGGGTTGTTGGATTACCGATCTTCAGTGTGTTCAAGAGTCGTATTGTATCCTCGGTATTTCACTAATTTATACAAGAGTTGTTACATTCTTGTAGAGCCACTAGTACGCGTAGCGTTTCGGGCAAGTCCTTAATCCTATGGTCCCTGGAATACGATCCCCTGCCGCGAAGAATCGTTTTTTCATCCAAGTACACATTTTACTGTTGAGTTAAACAGAGGCTACAGTTAAGGAATTGCGCCCAGTAAATCCTTCCCGGCCAGGATACGAACCCATGACATAGCGCTCGCGGAACGCCAGGCGAGTGTCTTACCACTACACCACGGAGACTGTTTTTAGATTTTGCATAGAAAAATTTCGGGTTCTGTTCGATTTCACTGCTGAATATCACATAATTCTTAGTAAATTATTCATATAAAATATCAAAATACAATCAAAGTTGTACTACCAAAATTTACCTACAAGTAATTATCATTATAATATAAACTCGTCCTGGCCGAAAAAAATGGTTTACACACATTAGAATAAATGTAATAATTGCCAATTTGCTTGCATTGTGTGTTTTTCAATAACAAACTGGCTTTATCGCCTACACACAACTAGGCACTAAAATTAGTATTAGTTGATAAAAAGGTTGGCTTGTCAAATGGGGGGGATCTTGGACAAGGCACCGGCTTCCTGTCCTCGTCGAGGCCACTAGAGTGTTAGTGGCCCTCAAGTAAATTCAGGCAAAAAGTCCAGCGTTTTCACGATTTAGCCATGCATATCAAAATGCAGGCGATGAGTCACAATAACGTGGCTGAAGTATGTTGACCAGACCACACACTAGAAATTGAAGGGACGACGATGTTTCGGTCCGTCCTGGACCATTCTCAAGTCGATTCAATCCACAATTGACTTGAGAATGGTCCAGGACGGACCGAAACGTCGTCGTCCCTTCAATTTCTAGTGTGTGGTCTGGTCAACATATCAAAATGATTCTGCAAGGAAAATCATCATATTAAAATGCATTAACATGACAAATTAACTCACTTTAAGCCACTGAATCTCCTCTGTAGAGTTGATACTTGCGAGGAGAGGAGGAGTGTTTGAGGGCAGGTCCGGGAGCCTAGTCCCCGTCAGACCCGCTGCACTGCGCATGCTCAGTAACATTACCACAGCAGCAATATTGAATGGAATGGAGAGAGCTGGCAGTTTTGAGGGCGCCATGAGGGAATTCAATCCTTTGTCTATATAGGCTCTGAAATTATGAGTACAGTGATTACTATTATTAATGTTCCTTATGTGCAGATCATGACAATTTTAAAATAAATATAGAACTAGCATAAGAACTATGCCTACCGCTGAAATTATTTTTCACAAGATCTCTAGACCAAGGGATAGTTGTTGTGTTGATTTAGGGGCGACGACGATCGTGGGATTGGATGCGCCCCGGCTGCCCGATACCGGGAAATAGCGAAGGGATGGGGTCCCTATAGTCTCTTCATGCCATAGACCCTACAATCTCCTCAGGCGACAAATTTTACAGTCTCTTCAGGCCGCGGACATGACGGATGAAGCGGAAGGTAAGGGATAGTCCCCCCTTGATTGAAAATATGAAATGTTACCCCTATGTTCAAAAAATACGGAAAAGGCTCAGCGGAAAACTATCATCCAATTAGCTCGACATTACACATCTGCAAGCTCACGGAGAGAATCTTAAGGTTATCTTGAGATGATTTCGGGGCTTTAGTGTCCCCGCGGCCCGGTCCTCGACCAGGCCTCCACCCCCAGGAAGCAGCCCGTGACAGCTGACTAACTCCCAGGTACCTATTTACTGCTAGGTAACAGGGGCATTCAGGGTGAAAGAAACATTGCCCATTTGTTTCTGCCTCGTGCGGGAATCGAACCCGCGCCACAGAATTACGAGTCCTGCGCGCTATCCACCAGGCTACGAGGCCAGGGAGGGGGAATCTTTCAGTAAACAGTCTTGTAAAATCGAAACAATATGGTGTTAAAAATAAATCCTGCCTTACACACTTCCTCACATTTTTTGGAAACTGTAACCAGCTACTTAAAGGACTTCCGATGGATGCCCTTTGTACATCCTGAGTTTACCCGAGAGCCATTAACACTAGTGGCCTCGATAAGGATAGGAAGCTTGCAAGTTCAAGTTCAAATATGTTTATTGAGATAAGCAATAAATACATCTCAAAGGGATAGAGTAGCTTAGGCTATTTCTACCCCCCAGGAAGCTTGCGGCTTGTCAAATGTCCCCTCCCCCCACCCATTTGCCTTTATGATCTTTCCTAGCTTTATCTTAAATGTTAAGTGTTTTGGCATTTACGGCTTCGGCGGGTAGCCGGTTCCATGGCTTCTTCACCCTGTGGGTGAAGAAGCATCTCCTGTTCTCAGTCCTACAAATGTGGCTTGTTTAGCTAGAATCCGTTGCAAGTGTCATTGTATCTCAGAGGGCTAAAGACACTGGTCATTGTCACAAATGAGTTCACATCGAGAAAAAACAAGATTTTTGATGTAGCTAAATATTGATCTATATGTACAGACACAAATATACAGTACTCCTTTAGTTTGTTTATTTCTCCAGGTAAGGTTGGATCAAGATAAGCCATGAATGAGATTTGTACAAGCATCAGTGAGATAAATTGGAAATATATCTTTCACAATATGCTAATGACATGAAAAGCTGATCAAATACCTGCTTTGAGTAATGACAAAATGAACACAAAAGCTAATATATTTTCGTACGTGATGATTAGCGCGAGGGTGAGGTAGAACCAGAAGATGGTGGTGAGGGTGTGACCAGAGATGGCAGGAAACGCGGCCACAGAGATGCAGCCAACCAAGATCTCGTTCATTACTACAACACCATCACTGATCTGTTGTTCTGGCTGCTTCAGGATCTGATGCCACAAATAAAGAATAGGAAACAAAGCTAAGAAAAAATAAGCCCCTCATGGAGGATAACTTCAAGTAGGTAAATGATTATTGAAAAAGAAGCATAGTTGGATTTACTTTTAATAATATAAACAAAATATGGGGGATTTCTCTCCAACGACCTACAGTTTATGAGCCAGAGTCGGTTGGTTCCATGCAGGATTTTGTTCCATGGTCCATGGTTCCATGGTAGGGGGCCTCGTAGCCTGGTGGATAGCGCGCAGGACTCGTAATTCTGTGGCGCGGGTTCGATTCCCGCACGAGGCAGAAACAAATGGGCAAAAGTTTCTTTCACCCTGAATGCCCCTGTTACCTAGCAGTAAATAGGTACCTGGGAGTTAGTCAGCTGTCACGGGCTGCTTCCTGGGGGTGGAGGCCTGGTCGAGGACCGGGCCGCGGGGACACTAAAGCCCCGAAATCATCTCAAGATAACCTCAAGATGGTAATCCAATACCAACCCAGGTCCAGTGTTGTTATTTATTGTACTGGAAATACAGGTTCTTATTTGATTGCATTTTAATAACGGATCCACATAAAATCCTCAGTTTTAAAACTGCATAATAAAAATTATGTATACTGTAGCCGCCTACCCGTAGAAGCAGTAAATGCCAAGATACAAGAGTTTTTACATTCTTGTAAAGCCACTATTACGCGTAGCGTTTCGGGCAAGGTCCTTAACCCTAATTTCCCCGGAATACGACCCCGCCGAATCGTTTAACAACCAGGTACCCATTCACTGCTGGGTGAACAGAGGCTACAGTTAAGGATTGGCGCCCGGTCAATCCTCCCCGGCCAGGATTCGAACCCAAGGCAAGGCGCTTGCGAAACGCCAGGCGAGTCTTACCACTGCGCCACGGAGACTGCTAGTAAGATGTTACTAAAGTTCAAAATCGTCAGGAACAATGGCAGGATTTTGACTAACCCCAACTTCGTATCCCCGTCGATGCCGTTAGAGATAGTGGCTCCCTCAGTTAAATTCAGGTAATTATTGGCAGTATCTAGAGCGTGTTCGTTAAAGAAGGATAGCCAGGTTCATTCTGCACTGATGAACGATGGTTGTGTGTGACATCTCATATAGTGTTATGCTATCCTATTTGTCTCGCGTTGCCACATCTTGAGGTTATCTTGAGATGATTTCGGGGCTTTAGTGTCCCCGCGGCCCGGTCCTCGACCAGGCCTCCACCCCCAGGAAGCAGCCCGTGACAGCTGACTAACACCCAGGTACCTATTTACTGCTAGGTAACAGGGGCATTCAGGGTGAAAGAAACTTTGCCCATTTGTGTCTGTCTCGTGCGGGAATCGAACCCGCGCCACAGAATTACGAGTCCTGCGTGCTATCCACCAGGCTACGAGGCCCCCAGTCCAATATTCTTCACATAACTGCAAAGCGATTCAATTGACAGGTAGTAACCCCATGGAAGAACAAGTAGGGTAAAGCCAGGATGAGTATGGGGTACACAATACAATAACAGTCTTACCTTTGCGAAGAGGACTCCGACGCCCCCGGCCAGGAGGCAGGCCCACGCCACATTCATGTTCCCAACAACCATGGCAGCCAGGATCAACACGCCAGACACGGGATTGTTCGTGAAGGCCACCTGTAACAAACCACTTATAGGTAAATAAATAAATAAATGTTTATTTAGGTAAGGTACATACATACAAGAAATTTTTACAAAGATTGGTTGATTTATGGGTAGAGCTAGTGCATACAATGCCTAAAGCCACTAATACGCAAAGCGTTTCGGGTATATAGGTTATACTCCTCACTTTTAACATTGAGTTTGCTAATTTGAGATGCAAACCTAGAATGGGTAAACTTATTTTGTTTTTTGGTAAAGTTTATTTTTATAAACAACCTTATCATTGTGTTCATTGCTGTCTTCTTTTTTGTCAACTACCATTCAAGCTGTCATTGCAATCAATCTTAGCTACCTATGTGCTTTAATATACTGTACCTACAATTTTCTCTCATCTTTTTTTACATTTCATGTAATCTGTTATCATTTTTTTGTCTATAATTTTTGCAAGTATTTACCTCCTTAAAATTTTCTTAGATTAAGGACCTGCCCGAAACGCTGCGCGTGCTAGTGGCTTTACAAGACTGTAATTACCATATTTGTATCCTCACATTCCTTATGTACATTCTTGTATATGCATAAATAAATAAATAAATAAATAAATAAATAAAATTTACTTCGAATCCACCGCTGCCCACTGGATGGGGGGCGGTGTGCAGGACAAACATATAAATTTTGACACTTGCTCTCCACATATGTCAGTTGCTTAATTTAGAACCTGTACTTGAGGTCGATCTTGAACCCATTGTTGATGTGATGACTTATATTGAATTTTGTAACTAGCTCATCAAGATTGTAACTTGCTTAGCTAAATGAATTGTGGGGTTCAGTCCCTGAGCCCATTATGTGCCTCTGTAACCCTTTCCGCTACCGCCCACAAGATGGGTATGGGGTGCATAATAAATGAACTAAACTAAACTTCGAACTTTGTGCGAGCTCATGTGCAGCTAAGCACATTAAAGATCTTCCCCTATGCAACGTATTGTTACTTTATGAATGATTAGAAAGTATTAGTAAGCAAAGTTGGTGCCTATGTTATTATTTAATAATCAACCCCCAGCTCAGTCTTTAAATGCTCTTTGAGAAACAATAATAGTCTTACGTCTGGCAGGGAAGATACAAACAATTGCTATTCTAGATGCCCAACTGTACTACCAGGAAGTTTAATAGCTCAATTTTGACCTCTGGTTTCCACTGGAGAACCCAGGGTCGTAACACTCACTTATCCGAATTAAATGGGAAGAACTCTTTGCCGGATAAGCCAGACAAGCGGATAAGCAGAATTTTTACCGGGGAGTTCCAAATGTTAACATATTCGCATTTGTGTACCACGACCAACATATTTTAAATTTCCACACAAAAATTTTAAAATATACCTTTACAGATCTGTAATTTAAAGGAGAATCTTCAGTTTACCTTGTAGTAGTTCGTTTTAGATGTACACTGACAATTTTCCTCTTCGCAGCATTGTGCCTAATATAATGGGTCAAAGGGGGGTAGAAATAGCCTAAGCTACTCTATCCCTTTGAGATGTATTTATTGCTTATCTCAATAAACATACTTGAACTTGAACTTGATGGGTCAATCCACCTATCATAAGTAGGAGCAGCCTCGTCTGGGCCTAGCTTTAAACCTTGCAATCCACCCATCACTTTCCTGGAAAATCTGTGTTCCAAGGGTGGTTGCAAACCTGCTTGCAGCATTTCTTATTTTTGAACCGCAAATTGTTCTAAAAGATTATCAATAATAATCGTACATATATGTATAAGAAAAATAGTTTTATAAAGTTTTTTAAACTTATAGTAACACAGTTCAGTATTTTTCAAAACTTTTTCTTATACATATGTAAGATTATTAACTGATCTCTACAACGTTCAGAGAAATTTACTGCTGTCTATAACAGTCTATTTACAGTCTCCGTGGTGTAGTGGTAAGACACTCGCCTGGCGTTCCGCGAGCGCTAAGTCATGGGTTCATATCCTGGCCGGGGAGGATTTACTGGGCGCAATTCCTTAACTGTAGCCTCTGTTTAACGCAACAGTAAAATGTGTACTTGGATGAAAAAACGATTCTTCGCGGCAGGGGATCGTATTCCAGGGACCATAGGATTAAGGACTTGCCCGAAACGCTACGCGTACTAGTGGCTGTACAAGAATGTAACAACTCTTGTATGTAATTTCTCAAGCTGTTCCGTTTTTCAACATTAATGGGGGAACTATTATATTTTTAGATGGCTGGCTAAATAAAGTAATCCCAGAGAATAATAAATAAAATAATCCCAGAGTAAAATAAAGTAAGAGTAATCCCAGTCCATAAAAGAGTTGATCTCACTGAAGTTAAACATTTTAGATCAAGATCAATCCAGCAGATTTTATCTAAAATATTTGAAGAGCTAATCTACATGCAGCTCTGCTCCTCCTAACCTTTATCTTAATTCAAACTTCAACACTACGGAGTCAAGTACTAGAGGTCACTCCCTCCAATACTTACAATGTTACCACCTTATCTTGAGGTTACCTTGAGGTGCTTCCGGGGCTTAGCGTCCCCGCGGCCCGGTCGTCGACCAGGCCTCCTGGTTGCTGGACTGATCAACCAGGCTGTTGACAGATCAACCTCAGTGACAGGTTGTCTCTGAATGACGCTACTTATATCACTACACATCATATTCATAACTGTAGCCATTTTTTTTTGCTACATACAACCATCATTAACTGTTTTAACCCCACACAACCATCACCGCTACCCCTCAAGGTGAAAAAGATTCATCATGAACCGGGACAATTACGGTGTATGTATGGAAGCATGATATCTCGGTTACCAAGAGGCAACAGTTTACATGTATATTGCGACGGGTCGGTGGCTGAGGATGGCAGGGCAGGGTGTGGTGTCCTAATAAGGGATTATACGGAGTTTGGGACTGTGGACAGGATAATTGAACTCCGGCTTAGTAATTATATATCATCCACACAAGCTGAACTGCAGGCCATTCTGGCGTGTTTGGAGGAAGTACGTCATGACGACAAAAATGTTTTTGTATTTGTCGATAGCCGAGGAGCACTGGAGTCCTTAAACAGTCGAAACCCAGTCTTCATGTCTATAGTTGAGGACTGTAAGAGAAGAATAACTGAGATACAGCTGAAAGGTCATAGTGTGAAATTCATGTGGATTCCATCTCATGTTGGAATAGTGCTCAACGAGGTGGCGGGTGACTTGGCCAAACGTGCCACATCAAGTTGACGTTGAATGTGAATTCACAATGAGACAAATAAGAAGCAAAATCAGAAATATTCAGGCACAGACAGGAGTGGAGAGGAGAGATATAATGTATGAGAGAAGTCAAACCATGCAACACTACATGCGAGTCAAAACACCCATTTCACTTATGGTAAAGGGAGAAATGCTTGGAGTGACTGTGTGTACATGCGGCTCAGGCTTGGGTACAAATATTACTGGGAATATGGGATAGATGTTCATGATAATGACACGAGGTGTAAACTATGTGGTATGTTAAGGTCTCACACCCTGGCCCATTATGTTCTTGATTGTCCGTTGATTAATGTATATAGAAACACTAAGATAAGGACTGTTCCTGAACAAATAGCCTGGATGTGTCACAACGGAAAGGTTGATGATATTCTTGAGAGATATAAGAATTTTGCACCAAGACTGTAATCTTTTGTTGAATTGTCTGCATGTCTCTTGCAAATTGTCTATACAGTATACCTAGGTCATAAAAGTATTTGTGTGTACGTCTGATGCCATACTACTTGTGAAGGAGGAAATGTGTATGTATATCTCTCAGAATGTCCGGCAATATGTTTATTGTTTGTGGTGTGTATATATGTATGTATTAACACGATGTACTGAACGGGATGAGAATAGCTTGAGCTACCTCATCCCTTTGTGAGTATTTTACATCAATAAACTTATTTCAATTTAAATTTAAATTTAAATTTAAATTTCAATCACCGCTAACATTTTCACTGCGCACTTCCTACGTAGTCTCCCCGGCTTGGTGCCTTTTGATAATTACATACTCCATCAACGTTAACGTCTTTACTGCAGACTGTCCTCATCGCTAGTCATCTTCACTACACATGTTTTAGATTTAGCTACCCAGAACAAAAAGTTCCAAATAGTACGGGCTATGGTACACCCGTGGTGGACTTACCTGGCACAGGAACAGGGCAAGTAGCACGGGCTATGGTACCCCCGTGGTGGACTTACCTGGCACAGGAGCGGGGCAAGTAGCACGGGCTATGGTACCCCCGTGGTGGACTTACCTGGCACAGGAGCGGGGCAAGTAGCACGGGCTATGGTACCCCCGTGGTGGACTTACCTGGCACAGGAGCGGGGCAAGTAGCACGGGCTATGGTACCCCCGTGGTGGACTTACCTGGCACAGGAGCGGGGCAAGTAGCACGGGCTATGGTACCCCCGTGGTGGACTTACCTGGCACAGGAGCGGGGCAAGTAGCACGGGCTATGGTACACCCGTGGTGGACTTACCTGGCACAGGAGCGGGGCAAGTAGCACGGGCTATGGTACCCCCGTGGTGGACTTACCTGGCACAGGAGCGGGGCAAGTAGCACGGGCTATGGTACCCCCGTGGTGGACTTACCTGGCACAGGAGTGGGGCTGTAACTTCACTACATAATTTTCACCACAGCAAACATCTTGAGACCCTACCCTGACGCGAGGCAGCTCGGGCCCCGTGTAGCGATCTATCAACCCCCCACCACTACCCCCTCCAGCCCCACACATTCCTCAACTAATAATCATTTGCAGGCGATGAGTCACAATAACGTGCCTGAAGTATGATGACCAGACCACACACTAAAAAGTGAAGGGACGACGACGTTTCGGTCCGTCCTGGACCATTCTCAAGTCGATTGTGGCTTAGTAATCATTTAGATAAAACAATAATTGATGTTTGAAACCGAAAACGGAATGCAAAATCAGTGGCAAGAATACTCACAATACCGATGGCGCGTAGAATTGAGTTGGCAGCTTTAAGGAGGCACCAAGGAGATCCCCAGGGCTTCTCCAGCAGGAACTGTGTAATGGTGCTCATGTCACCAATCCATCCTAACCATACCGGCGGCTATTGAAAGAAATATTATACTCAGACATATTGCATTATGGGAATGAAAATGTTCATTAGTGTGACATAGAAAAAGGAATCGATATTTTTAGTACAGTATGTTAGTATAGTCGTCGGGTTCACTCTCGACTCATTGGTAATTCCGGGTTCGATTCCCGGTCCGGGACATATATGGTTGGGCGCGTTTCTTATCAGCTAATGCACCTGTTCACCTAGCAGAAGACGGATACCCAGGGAGCAACCCGTTCTCGCAAATTCGTAAAGTCAATATTGACTTATTAAATAAGTGCATAGGTGATATACTAAACATAATAGATACCCTTAAAAAGATTCATAGAAAACACCGACCTTACCTAACCTTGTTAGTATCTTAAGATAAGCATCTTATTGCTTCGTAATTACAATTATTACTTAACCTATACCTATAATAGGTTAAGTAACAACTGTAATTACGAAGCTATAAGATGCTTATCTTAACATACTAACAAGGTTAGGTAAGGTCGGTGTTTTCTATGAAGCTTTTTAAGAGTATCTATTATGTTTAGTATGTCACCTATGCACTTATTTAATAAGTCAATATTGACTTTACCAACGAGTTAGTCAGCTTCTTGTGGGGTTGCAGCCTGAGGAGGGTCAGTAATTCGACCTCGGGGGATACCTCGATATAAACCTAATATGTATACGTTATATACACTGGCTTCCTGTCCCAGTGATTAGTTATTTAATGTCTTTTTACTACGTTTATAAATGTATATTTGTCTTCATTTAACAACGTCAAGTATAATGCCAGAGTTCTCCAGAATCTTATAATTTATATTACGCTCCTGTTTGTATATTTATTTGCATATATTTATTCAAATCTCTATTGATTTATATTATAAATAACAGAGAGCCACGAGGCGCTGCTTGCGACTGCTCCCCAAGCACACTTATTCAACATATTTGCAGTCACAACTGCAGTCTCCGTGGTGTAGTGGTAAGACACTCGCCTGGCGTTCCGCGAGCGCTATGTCATGGGTTCGTATCCTGGCCGGTGAGGATTTACTGGGCGCAATTCCTTAACTGTAGCCTCTGTTTAACGCAACAGTAAAATGTGTACTTGGATGAAAAAACGATTCTTCGCGGCAGGGGATCGTATTCCAGGGACCATAGGATTAAGGACTTGCCCGAAACGCTACGCGTACTAGTGGCTGTACAAGAATGTAATGTAATGTAATTTATGCTTGTTCAATATTTTCTATCTTAACGTCGAACCCTTACTTTGATCAATGTATATCTTTTCACAATTTGTACTTCCATTCGCTGCTAATAATAAATTTCAATTGAACAAGAATAAATTTGTAAAATCTAAAGTCAAAGGAATTAAACTTTCAAGCTGAAACAACTTAAATTTTTCCACATTACCTCCAACTATATTTCCAAACCAGTGTTAACCTGTTTTTCTAAATCTAAACTGTCCAAATTTGAATTGGATTTTTATATTCTATCGTGGGTTGAAAATGTAAACTTATTTATACTCTACTTGTTAAACCTTTTTAACTGAAACCTTCAGTCATGATGTAAACCAAGACTCAAACCTTGGTTTAGAGAAAAAGGAAAACAAATTATGGGATGAAAGCTTTCATTTTAGCAGTGACAGTGAACTGCTCTCTATACAAGGATATCTTACGCCACGCTATTAATGAAGTTTAAGATCTTTAAAATTGGTCTGATTACCAGAGTGAAATATTCAAAGGCAAACACGGAGTGAATGCTTGAAGTGACAGTGGTTGTGTGAGATCACTAAGTGAGATCACTTTTTTTTTTATGAGATATATACAAGAGTTGTTACATTCTTGTACAGCCACTAGTACGCGTAGCGTTTCGGGCAAGTCCTTAATCCTATGGTCCCTGGAATACGATCCCCGCCGCGAAGAATCGTTTTTTCATCCAAGTACACATTTTACTGTTGCGTTAAACAGAGGCTAGGTTAAGGAATAATCTAGGTTAAGGAATTGCGCCCAGTAAATCCTCCCCGGCCAGGATACGAACCCATGACAAAGCGCTCGTGGAACGCCAGGCGAGTGTCTTACCACTACACCACGGAGACTGGTGGAAAGTTTAATGACTTTGAACACGTGATCGGATATAATAATAATAAATAATAAATGAGAAAACCAACTAGAGTTCTTAGGTGACTAACCTTCAATCAACACATTGTCAGCCATAATCTTCACCATTGTACCATCCTAACATTGTAGAAATCATAAAACCTGGGATTCTACTGAATCTTCAGGAAGTCTACACTTTCCATAATTTGTAATGCTAAGGTTAACATTGTCTATCTGATGGTCTATCTGAATACAGTCTCCGTGGTGTAGTGGTAAGACACTCGCCTGGCGTTCCGCGAGCGCTATGTCATGGGTTCGTATCCTGGCCGGGGAGGATTTACTGGGCGCAATTCCTTAACTGTAGCCTCTGTTTAACGCAACAGTAAAATGTGTACTTGGATGAAAAAACGATTCTTCGCGGCAGGGGATCGTATTCCAGGGACCATAGGATTAAGGACTTGCCCGAAACGCTACGCGTACTAGTGGCTGTACAAGAATGTAACAACTCTTGTATATATCTATAGATGGTGAAGTTGGTTTGATGATTTACTTCCAAATACAATGTAGGTCTTATGTTTAGTGCGCGTTTGTTGGTTGACATCCATGAGTGGACTTTTAAATTCGTTATTTACAATATTATTTAGTGTGTGGGTTGGGGTCTGAATAGATGAAAGGTAGTAGCGTCAAGAAATTGTGTACGTTCAAGAATCCTAGACACATTTGGCAAATCATTGATGTATAAGAAGTAGGAGAGGTCCTAAGATGCAGCCCAGTGGAACTCCTACGTAGAGTTAATGGAAGAGTGGGGGAAGGTTATGTCATTGATGGCTGCTACTGGTGTCTGTCCCTAAGATATGATCTAATTTAATTCAGAGCAAGGCCTTGGATTCCATAGCGATAAAGATTAAGTAAGAGGTAATTATGGTTTACAGTATCAAAAGCCTCTCAGATCAATGAAAGTAATTAACGATTCCAGATTTAAAGTCAATGTCCGTACATACATACACGAAGTCAACCAAACGTTACATCACTAACCTTTTCCTTGCGACGATTATTCATGTTTAATTAATGGCTATATTTATCCTCCTTTGTGAAGATCGTTCGGAACTCTTGCAGAACTCTTCACTTTCCTTCCTTCCTCAGTTATTACAATGTCACACTTTTTCCCGTCAAGAACCCGTATGCGGCCTTAAGTTTGTTGGCGCCGTTACTGTTGTATAACTACTGTTGATTAGTAGCCCCTGATACTGTTGTTGTTACTTCCTTCCTGCCCGGTGTGGTCGTTGTTTACATGGGGGCTGGTTGATGCCGTGCCCAGTCTTACCAACCTTCTCACTTGGGGGCTGGCTGATGCCGTCCCCAGTCTTACCAACCTTCTCACTTGGGGGCTGGCTGATGCTGTGCCCAGTCTTATCAACCTTCTCACTTGGGGGCTGGCTGATGCTGTGCCCAGTCTTATCAACCTTCTCACTTGGGGGCTGGCTGATGCTGTGCCCAGTCTTACCAACCTTCTCACTTGGGGGCTGGTTGATGCCGTGCCCAGTCTTACCAACCTTCTCACTTGGGGGCTGGCTGATGCCGTCCCCAGTCTTACCAACCTTCTCACTTGGGGGCTGGCTGATGCCGTGCCCAGTCTTATCAACCTTCTCACTTGGGGGCTGGCTGATGCTGTGCCCAGTCTTACCAACCTTCTCACTTGGGGGCTGGCTGATGCCGTCCCCAGTCTTACCAACCTTCTCACTTGGGGGCTGGCTGATGCTGTGCCCAGTCTTACCAACCTTCTCACTTGGGGGCTGGCTGATGCCGTGCCCAGTCTTATCAACCTTCTCACTTGGGGGCTGGCTGATGCCGTCCCCAGTCTTACCAACCTTCTCACTTGGGGGCTGGCTGATGCCGTGCCCAGTCTTACCAACCTTCTCACTTGGGGGCTGGCTGATGCTGTGCCCAGTCTTACCAACCTTCTCACTTTCTTGATTTAGTTTCCCGCCTTGGTATATATTGTGATAGTGTGTCTTTGCCTCTTGATGTAGTGATGATGCCGCAGCTGAGTATTATTACAGTTACCCAAGTTTAGCTGTTCCTGTTTAGAAAATATATTAAATTGAATTGTTTTGGCGTAATATTTAAACAAGCGATTTTAGCAAAATATTAACATTGAAGATTTGTTTACGTGAAATTTATATATTTGCTTATTATACAATGCATTTATATTAGATTTGTGAGAAGTTTTAGATAATGTTAGGCAAGTAATTATCAAAAGGCACCAAGCCGAGAAGGCTATGTAGCGCCATGGAATGTGCTGAATAATCAGAGGCCGCTAAATATCATTAAGGATGCCAATGAGAAATGCAAAAGGCGAACGATATCAAAGTATCCTATTTATTGCTGTATCTATTGCTACCCAATCTCCCAACCTTTATGTTCCCAATCTGAACATCTGAACATCATACATCACCTATGCATGTAGTTAACCACTGGCCTTCCAAGTTAGAGGCAGACAGAGGTTGCTGCTAAGAGCTAGCAGCAAAGAGGACAATGTCAGTAACTTGCCTCTTGTAAACAAAGAGCTGCAAGACGTTCTCCTACCAGGGGCCTCGTAGCCTGGTGGATAGCGCGCAGGACTCGTAATTCTGTGGCGCGGGTTCGATTCCCGCACGAGGCAGAAACAAATGGGCAAAGTTTCTTTCACCCTAAATGCCTCTGTTACCTAGCAGTAAATAGGTACCTGGGAGTTAGTCAGCTGTCACGGGCTGCTTCCTGGGGGTAGAGGCCTGGTCGAGGACCGGGCCGCGGGGACACTAAAAGCCCCGAAATCATCTCAAGATAACCTCTCAAGAAGATTCCCCATAGCACTAGTTACTGCAGAACCATCACAATAGTACAGTTGTCTAATTTTGGCAGTTTATAGATTATAAAGCAGCACTGTTAGCAGTAGCTGAAAAGGAAGCAGATCAAACAGTAACCCAGATGTTGTTAAATCCGATATTTGTAACCCAAATGGTAGTAAACCAAGTTTACTAAAGGTGCTAAAAATGCACCTGAGAGCAATACCTGCTCTTCCTCCAGGCGGGGGTAAACAGCTCCCCCCTACTAACACAGTCATTAACTGCTGGCTACAGTTACCATGATCGTTAGATGAAGATTAAGCCACCCAAGAGGCGGCACGGGCATGAATAACCCGTAATACAGTTACCATAGTGTGCGCGGGAACCTTCTGGGTGCTTCTTCTTTATTATTATTATTATTATTATTATTATTATTATTATTATTATTATGCACCCCATACCCATCCCGTGGGCGGTGGTGGAATGGGTTACAGGGGCACATAATGGGTTCAGGAAGTGAACCCCATAGTTCGTTTAGCTAAGCGAACACCTGCTAAGCAAGTGACAAACTTTTCAAACTAGTTACATAATTGTTAATGTTACATATACATGTACATATATATATAATCATTTACACAAATACATACACATATCAATAATCTTTTTATATATCACAAGTGATTCAACAAGAGGCTCACAACAGTCACTATACAAGGCACTTTACATCTATGGTGAGTCACACAGTTACTAGTCTTGCTCCACACCCACCCAACTGGGCGGCAGCTTTACTGTCATGTGCTCCACACCCACCCAACTGGGCGGCAGCTTTACAGTCATGTGCTCCACACCCACCCAACTGGGCGGCAGCTTTACAGTCATGTGCTCCACACCCACCCAACTGGGCGGCAGCTTTACAGTCATGTGCTCCACACCCACCCAACTGGGCGGCAGCTTTACAGTCATGTGCTCCACACCCACCCAACTGGGCGGCAGCTTTACAGTCATGTGCTCCACACCCACCCAACTGGGCGGCAGCTTTACAGTCATGTGCTCCACACCCACCCAACTGGGCGGCAGCTTTACAGTCATGTGCTCCACACCCACCCAACTGGGCGGCAGCTTTACAGTCATGTGCTCCACACCCACCCAACTGGGCGGCAGCTTTACAGTCATGTGCTCCACACCCACCCAACTGGGCGGCAGCTTTACAGTCATGTGCTCCACACCCACCCAACTGGGCGGCAGCTTTACAGTCATGTGCTCCACACCCACCCAACTGGGCGGCAGCTTTACAGTCATGTGCTCCACACCCACCCAACTGGGCGGCAGCTTTACAGTCATGTGCTCCACACCCACCCAACTGGGCGGCAGCTTTACAGTCATGTGCTCCACACCCACCCAACTGGGCGGCAGCTTTACAGTCATGTGCTCCACACCCACCCAACTGGGCGGCAGCTTTACAGTCATGTGCTCCACACCCACCCAACTGGGCGGCAGCTTTACAGTCATGTGCTCCACACCCACCCAACTGGACGGCAGCGTTACAGTCATGTGCTCCACACCCACCCAACTGGGCGGCAGCTTTACAGTCATATGCCCCACACCCACCCAACTGGGCGGCAGCTTTACAGTCATATGCTCCACACCCACCCAACTGGGCGGCAGCTTTACAGTCATATGCTCCACACCCACCCAACTGGGCGGCAGCTTTACAGTCATATGCTCCACACCCACCCAACTGGGCGGCAGCTTTACAGTCATATGCTCCACACCCACCCAACTGGGCGGCAGCTTTACAGTCATATGCTCCACACCCACCCAACTGGGCGGCAGCTTTACAGTCATGTGCTCCACACCCACCCAACTGGGCGGCAGCTTTACAGTCATATGCAGGCTGCACCTACAGTAAGCAAATTTTGGATACCTCGTTAGGGTTTCTGGCAGCACATCATTATGAATGAAGTACTCACACATTTCTTTATGTGTAAGTACTGTATTTATTTATTTATATTCAAGAAGGTACATTAGGTTTGTGAGAGTACATATTACTGGTGTTGACCAGACCACACACTAGAAATTGAAGGGACGACGACGTTTCGGTCCGTCCTGGACCATTCTCAAGTCGATTGAGAATGGTCCAGGACGGACCGAAACGTCGTCGTCCCTTCAATTTCTAGTGTGTGGTCTGGTCAACATACTTCAGCCACGTTATTGTGACTCATCGCCTGCATATTACTGGTGTCTTTACATTCTTGTAAAGTCACTAACAGCATAGCGTGTATAAGCACAGCCTTGTTCAAGAAACGTTTGCTCGTGCTTTCATATATTTATAAATAAAGGTGGGTTGTAGATTGGGTGAATATTAGTACAGTCGGATTCGTTCTCGAATCACAATCGGGAATTAAGTGTTCGAATCTCGGGTGGAACAGAAATGGCTGGGCGCGTTTCTTATCACCTAATTCGTCTATTCACCTAGAAGTAAAGAGGTACCCAAGAGTTAGTCACCTTGTTATGGGGTTGCATCCTGGGGAGAGTCAGTAATTTAACCTTAGGGAGAACATGGATATTAACCTTGTCTTGCCCGAGACGCTGTGTGTATTAGTGGCTTTAGGTATTGTATGTACTAGCTCTATCTATAAATCCAACATTATGTTTGTAACTCATTGTCTATGTATGTACTTTTACCTGAATAAAGATTTTGATTTTGATTTTTGATCAATGTGGTAGATCATTTTTGATCTACCAAAATGATCAATCAAAATTGATCATTTAAAATTGATCAATTTTTGATTCATTGTGTCGGGGATAAGCAGCCAGTGTATTGTGACGATAATCTTTCAAGAGAGATTGAGCCTGCTCTTCCCTACACATTTACGCCGCCATTCAAGTACAAGATACTATATTGAAGATACGTCCACCAGTATCGCCAAACGTTTTGCCTAGGAAGCAAAGCGTACCATGCACAACCCGACACACCGGCTTCCGCCCGCCGTCAAACCAGCAAACTACTCATTCTCCGCCTGCCTGTTGCTGATTGGCTGGTGTGTCGCCGCACCTGCACTCACGCCACTACATGAGTCGACGTCTGGGCCAGCAGCACGCCGTCTCCTCAGAATATCCCTGTGCTCCTTGGAGTTGACATCTCTCTATAGTAGACTAAGCTCTGGCTGTCGTGTACTAAGGGAGGTGGCAGCTTGAAGCCAGTATTCTCAGCACCTCACCTGATTTATATTACTATCACTTTATTGTCTTAGAGTAAATTTTTCACTGCCAGTAATTATTCATGTTGTTTTGTTTGTTGACCTGTTCTGAATTTTACGAGATTGTCTTTATTCATGTCTTGTTTTCTTGAGTAATTAAAATTTCATTGTTTATATTTTGTGTTTTGTGTGTCTTCCCATTACCTTACCACAGACGAAAGGACAAACTTCTCTTTTTTTTTTTTTTGTGACGAGGCCCTGCCCCCAGCTTTTGAAACAGCCGAGCACCAACGCTTTACCGTCACAGTATATATACATGTTAGGCTTATAACGATGCCCCCCCAAAGTGGAATTACTTACCCCCCCCCCCCAGAATGCAACAGAAATGGTTTGGTGCATTTTTTCCCGACAGAACCTCTAACTTGGAATTCTCTATTGTGATTTGATTGATTGTTGCCGCCGAAGGCGGCTAGTTTATTGTGCACCCCATACTCATCCTGTGAGCGGTAGCGCAAAAGCATTACAGAGGGCACAAAAGGTCTTTATCAGACCTCTTGTGATTCAAGAACGAACCTGACTGTACCATCCGGACCTATATATGCACTGGCTGCCTGTCCCCACTGGATGTTCTATCTCACTGGAAACTTGTGTTATACAAAAATAATCATCTTAATATTCAAAAGTAGAGCATATACCGAGGCCCACGAAGCCCATATAGAGCATATGGGCCTCGTAGCCTGGTGGATAGCGCGCAGGATTCGTAATTCTGTGGCGCGGGTTCGATTCCCGCACGAGGCAGAAACAAATGGGCAAAGTTTCTTTCACCCTGAATGCCCCTGTTACCTAGCAGTAAATAGGTACCTGGGAGTTAGTCAGCTGTCACGGGCTGCTTCCTGGGGGTGGAGGCCTGGTCGAGGACCGGGCCGCGGGGACACTAAAGCCCCGAAATCATCTCAAGATATAGAGTTGATGGCAGGAAGACCCGCGGTGCGCGTGTCCACAGCAGTACAACTTCCTGTGTATTCTGCGCATCGTTACGCACTCAAAATCATTAATAGTCTTACAAACGCTTTCGTATTTTAATGCATATTTTTTCTAATACCAGGAAAACTACCTGGTAGGAAATTCCGTGTAATATAAATATAATTCTCGGATAAAGCATTCAAGGTGGCATGAGTCATTCCAGGATTAATATCTGCCTCAATCCAGATTTAGAGAGAGCAGGGCAGGAGCAGCGGACGCTGGGTGGGATGCCTTCACCAGTCGCCCGCGGCGCCATCTTCCTTCTCGGCCTCCCTCCCTCCCTCCCTCTTCCTGCCACCGTCCTTCCCATCACCCCCTCACACGCACACGCCAACCTATAAATGTGTCACCTGCTAATTCCATCCTGATCACACATACACACACACACACACACACACACACACACACACACACACACACACACACAACACTGGTGGGACGCGAACAAGGGGACACAGGTGGAAGCTGAGTACCCAAATGAGCCACAGAGACGTTAGAAAGAACTTTTTCAGTGTCAGAGTAGTTAGTAAATGGAATGCATTAGGAAGTGATGTGGTGGAGGCTGACTCCATACACAGTTTCAAATGTAGATATGATAGAGCCCAATAGGCTCAGGAATCTGTACACCAGTTGATTGACGGTTGAGAGGCGGGACCAAAGAGCCAGAGCTCAACCCCCGCAAGCACAATTAGGTGAGTACACACCCCCACTAGCACCCCCCCACTCACCCCCACAGCCCCCACTTGCCCCCCAGACACCCCCCAGTTCCCCCCAGACCCCTGGTGAAAGGGGGAACTCTGACACCCGAGTTTCCAAGAAGAGTCTCAAGGTTTGGTACACCAATGCTGATGGGGTAGCCAATAAAGCAGAAGAGATAAAAGAAAGAGTTAGTGAGGCAGACCCAGACATAGTGGCAATAGTGGAAACTAAAATAAATGGCATGATCTCGGATGCAATCTTTCCAGAGGGGTACCAGGTGATAAGAAAAGAAAGGACACAGAGACAGGGAGGAGGAGTGGCACTACTAATAAAGCGGAAATGGAAGTTTGATGAGCTGGAAAATCCGGGTACCAATGAAAGCACAAGCTTCATACATGGAACTCTGACAGTGGATGGGAAGAAGATTGTAATCTTGATACTCTATAATCCCCCACCAAACAGTAGAAGGCCCAGGCAGGAGTACGAGGACAGCAACAAGACATGTATGGATGAACTGCAGAGGGCAGCAACTTTAGCGCATAGAATGAGAGCGAAGCTGCTGGTCATGGGGGACCTAAATCACGGAGAGATAGATTGGGAAACGAGGAATCCCCATGGCGGGGAGGAGACCTGGGGAGCGAAGCTGGTAGACGTTATTGACAGGAATTTCCTAACACAGCATGTGAAAGAAGATACTAGGGAAAGAGGAGGGGATACGCCCAGCCTATTAGATCTCATTATCACTCAGAATGTAGAAGACATCGAGCAGTTGGAACATGAAATACCACTAGGAGCTAGTGACCATTGTGTCCTAGTCTTTGACTACATGATGGAGCTTAAAATTGTGACCAAAGGACAAGAGGTCCGGGAAAGGAGACTTGATTACAGAAAAGGGGACTACAGAAGGATAAGGGACTACCTGGGAGAAGTGCAGTGGGAGGAAGAACTTAGAGGAAAAACAGTGCAAGGTATGATGAACCAAGTCATATTGAAATGCAAGGAGGCTGAAGATAGATTTATTCCAACAATAAAGGAAAAAAGCAGGAGGGAATATAATAACCCATGGTTTAATAGACAGTGTCAGGAAGCAAAGGTGAGAAGCAGGAGGGAGTGGAGGAAGTACAGAAGACAAAGGACAGAGGACAACAGGATTAGATGTAACAGAGCTAGGAATGATTACATTAACATAAGACGAGTGTCGGAAAGAAATTATGAGAACGATATTGCAGTCAAAGCGAAAAAGCAACCAAAATTACTACATAGCCATATAAGAAGGAAGATGTCGGTAAATGACCAAGTGACAAGACTGAGGAAAACAGAAGGGGCATATACAGAAAGCGACAAGGAAATCTGCGAGGTACTGAATGCAAAATTCCATGGAGTGTTCACAACCGAGCCTGAGCAGCTCCCATTGTTAGAAGAGATTACCCAAGATGAAAGACTATCAGATATAGAGGTGACAGCAGAGGATGTAATGAAACAGTTGACAACACTGGATGCAAATAAAGCTGTTGGACCAGACAAAGTATCACCGTGGATACTTAAAGAGGCAGCGCAGGCTCTCAGCGTGCCTCTGGCAATGATCTTTAATGAGTCACTTATGTCGGGAGAATTGCCCAGTTGCTGGAAGGAGGCAAATGTCGTACCGATTTTCAAAAAGGGTGATAGGGAGGAGGCACTTAACTACAGACCCGTATCACTGACAAGCATCCCCTGCAAAATACTTGAAAGAATAATTAGGCTAAGACTTGTTGAGCACCTGGAGAGCATTGGGTTTGTAAACAAGCACCAACATGGGTTCTGGACAGGGAAATCATGCCTAACAAACCTTTTAGAATTCTATGATAAAGTAACAAGGATAAGGCAGGACAGAGAAGGCTGGGCAGACTGCATATTTCTTGACTGCCAAAAGGCCTTTGATACGGTACCGCACATGAGACTGCTATACAAACTTGAGAGGCAGGCAGGAGTAAGCGGAAAGGCCCTAGTATGGGTGAAGAACTACCTAACAGGAAGGAGCCAGAGGGTAATGGTAAGGGGCGAAAAGTCGGACTGGCGAACAGTAACAAGTGGAGTACCTCAAGGATCGGTGCTGGGACCAATCCTCATTCTAATTTACGTAAATGATATGTTTACAGGAGTGGAATCATACATGTCAATGTTTGCAGATGACGCAAAATTAATGAGAAGAGTTGTGACAGACGAGGATTGTAGGATCCTCCAAGAGGACTTAAACAGGCTGCAGAGATGGTCAGGGAAATGGCTACTGGAGTTTAACACCAGTAAATGTAAAGTTATGGAAATGGGATCAGGTGACAGGAGACCAAAGGGACAGTACACAATGAAGGGGAACAGCCTACCTGTAACGATTCGAGAAAGAGACCTGGGAGTGGATGTGACACCTAATCTAACTCCTGAGGCACATATAAATAGGATAACGACAGCAGCGTACTCTACACTGGCGAAAATTAGAACTTCATTCAGAAACCTAAATGAGGAAGCTTTTAGGGCGCTTTACACTGCCTACGTGAGACCCGTCTTAGAGTATGCCGCGCCATCATGGAGCCCCCACCTGAAGAAACACATAAAGAAACTGGAGAAGGTTCAGAGGTTTGCGACGAGGCTTGTCCCAGAGCTACGAGGGATGGGATATGAAGAGCGGCTGAAGGAACTGAACCTTACGACACTAGAGAAAAGAAGGGAGAGAGGAGATATGATAGGGACATATAAAATACTCAGGGGAATTGACAAAGTGGAAATAGATGAAATGTTCACACGTAATAATAACAGAACGAGGGGACATGGGTGGAAACTGGAAACTCAGATGAGTCACAGAGATGTTAGGAAGTTTTCTTTTAGCGTGAGAGTAGTGGAAAAATGGAATGCACTTGGGGAACAGGTTGTGGAAGCAAATACTATTCATACTTTTAAAACTAGGTATGATAGGGAAATGGGACAGGAGTCATTGCTGTAAACAACCGATAGCTAGAAAGGCGGGATCCAAGAGTCAATGCTCGATCCTGCAAGCACATATAGGTGAGTACATATAGGTGAGTACACACACACATACTAGAGATATTAGAAAGAACTTTTTTAGTGTCAGAGTGGTTGACAAATGGAATGCATTAGGGGGTGATGTGGCGGAGGCTGACTCCATACACAGTTTCAGGTGTAGCTATGATAGAGCCCAATAGGCTCAGGAATCTGTACACCTGTTGATTGACGGTTGAGAGGCGGGACCAAAGAGCCAGAGCTCAACCCCCGCAAACACAACTAGGTGAGTACACACACACACACACTTTTATGATCGAGCAACAGAGATTTTACAGGAAAGAGATGGTTGGGTTGACTGCATCTATCTGGACCTAAAAAAGGCTTTTGACAGAGTTCCCCATAAGAGGTTGTTCTGGAAACTGAAACATATTGGAGGGGTGACCGGTAAGCTACTAACATGTTTAAATTTTAAAAATTTCCTAACTGACAGAAAAATGAGGGCCGTAATCAGAGGCAAGGTATAGGATTGGAGGAATGTCACGAGTGGAGTACCACAGGGTTCAGTTCTTACACCGGTAATGTTCATTGTCTACATAAACGATCTACCAGTGGGAATACAGAATTACATGAACATCTTTAAATAATTCTGATGAATGCCCTTCAAGAAGACCTGGACAAAATAAGATCTAGGGTGAATGGTTCTAGATAAAAATTCTGAAAACTAGGGGTCACCTGAGGACCACATTAAGAACATTGTGCGAGGAGCCTATGCCACGCTTTCTAACCTCAGAATTGCTTTTAAATACATGGATGGCGAAATACTAAAGAAATTGTTCACGACTTTTATTAGGCCAAAGCTGGAATATGCAG